CGGCCCTCTGTCTGTGTAGAACTTGTGCGATCTGCTTGAATTGGCAAAATGATTTTACAAGTATCTAAGATATTTTGTTAATTGTGTTTCCTTTATATATATATATATATATATATATATATATATATATATATATATGCAGGCGTTTTTCTGCGAGCACAAGTCAAAGAATGAACAATATAACCCAGTGACCACATTGGTCTATGTGATATTATGAACTATCGTTACTCCAAATAAGGATGAAAATATAGATGCTTTTACAAGAAGTTATGTTGCTAGCCTGGCTTCTTCCACCACTTTGGAAATTTGAAAGTTAATTCCATATATATATATATATATATATATATATATATATATATATATATATATATATATATATATATATATATATATATATATATATATATATATATATATATATATATATATATATATATATATATATATATATATATATATATATATATATATATATATATAAGTTACATAAGTTACGAACAGAGATAAACATATAGAAAAAGTAACATTATTCATTATTATAAATATGATTTATTAACTGTGAAAAAATCAAAATATCTATTTAAATATTTATGATTTTTAATAAAAAAAAATTAATAACATATTTAAATGACTTTTCACATTAATCTCATCTAATATATATATATATATATATATATATATATATATATATTTATATCAATTAAAAATTTAAAAGTTATATATACATTTAAATGTTAAAAATATTTTCAAAATTACATTGTTATGGTAACATGTTGCGTGCTCACTTCGAGTTGTGTTGAGCAAGCGTTTTGTTACCATAACAATGGATTTTCTTATTACTCTGCAATGACACAAGCTAATCATTACCCATGGGCAAGTTTATTTTTACCGACCAAGAAACCAAGAATAGTTGCTTAATAACTTTGTGTGTGTGTCTGTGTCGTTGAGGTCTTACATTAATAAAACCGAGGATTTGACTGGAGCGGAGAACAAAGGAGAAACAAACACGGATTTGTTCAAACGCGTGAGATAATTAAACAGTTTGCCTTTTAAGGGGTTTGTATTGCCTTCAGTCATGTAAAAGAAGGAAAAGGCCGCCTGAACTTCAGTATTTGCAGACCCAACAGGAATTCTCGGGAGAGTGTTGGTGCCGATACTGAGAGGATTTGCTGTCACTTGGTCTTCAGTCAAACAGATTGGAAGCATAAATAGAACCGGTTTTCTCGAAGAACAGAATGGTCTCCGGTAGATCTTGGTAAGAAACGAAACAGCCCAGAAAACGCCTTTACTAAAGGCAGGCAGAATACTGAGGTGACCTCTCTGTTATGCACCGGGTGTCGAGCGAGAGACATTAGATGCTGCTCGTGTCAAAGAACTTTGTCTTTTGTCGTACTTAGCTACGATTATAGCTATACAACAACAAAGACAACGACAACAACCACTACTATCACTGCTACTACTAATAATAATAATTGAAGAAACTACTGAAGTTGTCAGATTTGTTGCCGTTTGGTATTGTGTGAGAACTATTAGTTACAACAGGTATGAAAATTTAACGTGCGCAATAATAATAAAATTAATAATAGCAATAAGAGTAGTAGCAGCAATAATAATAATAATAATAATAATTCGCATATGAAGAAGTTATACGATTATACTGTATTCAAAATTACCTTATTGTATACTGCTCTAATATTTAGAAAATCTCTGAAATAACTTCGTAAGAAAAATCTTCGTCTACATCCGGTCTCAGATAAAAAAAACTCGGTGTTTACATCAAAACACAAATATAATAATAATAATAATAATAATAATAATAATAATAATAATATAAACTTCTCTCTTGAAGTCTCTGGTTGAGACTTGGGGGCAACTCGGACTACACAACGCAAAGGCAAAGACAATAATAATAATAATAATAATAATAATAGGTCTACAATACAGTTCTCCAGTTACTACTGGGATGAATATTTAATCTTCTTTTATGTTTCGTGTCCCTACAGAGCGTGGGCGATCATGCCCCTCCACAGCTTCCTGCTCCTTGATTGAAAAAAAAAATTCCAAAACTTCTTGTAAGAGGAACTGAAAATCCAAGAAGGAAGCGAAAAACCACGTGACAACATTGCTAAAGAAAAAAAGAAGCCAAAAAATTAAAAAAAAAAAAAAAGCCAAAAAAAAAAAGCCAGACGACTGAAGATAGTTGGTATATTGAGAATATTGGCTGCCACCTTATCTCCCGTGAAAGCCACCCTTTATTTACTGGTGCGAAAACGCAGTCAGTACGATTAGTAATGATATGTAGGAATCAATCCGGAGAAAGTTTCAAGCTTACGCAAACACATATTGAATTGTTAGACATAGGGAAACGTTGGAGATCCACAGAACGGTAGAGCTATTTAGTGTCACGTAAATGGAGATCGTAACATGCACGTAAAAGAATAACCAGAACAGAATGGAATCATTGATAAATCGTACTATAAAACTGTTTCCTGCCTAACAT